CCAGGTTGAGATGTTGTTCAGCATCTTAGCTGCAGAGGGCAGTGTCACTGGCCCTCATATGTGGGATCCGAACCGGGGTCCTCTGGCGTCCCAAGCCAGGTCTTAACCAACGTGCTACTCGGCTGGCCCAAATCACTGATGTTTTCAAGAAGATTTAAAAAACATTTTATCTGGCACTTTTTTGTTTCCAGTGAGAAAGTTGGGCTGAATAACCGAGGTTGACAAATTGCAAAAAATGATTCTCAAAAGACTTGAATTTTAATTTCTTAGACTTTTTACCTCACAATTTCTACTCATGACCCTTCCAATGGAGCCCAACTCTAAAACAGCTTATAAGTCATCATCAGCAGTTATTTTAACTTTGTAAGAATTAATCTCTTACTCTGTAGGATTTTCCAACTCTGACGCTGATAAGATTGAGAAGTTGTAAACCTTATGCTTTTCAAGCATAAGTTTTAATAAATTCTAATTCAGACACTTTTTTTCTTTTCTTAGGTAAAAAGAACCTTTGATAAACTTTTCGGTAGTCTGCTTACCGGAAAACCTCAAGGGGAGCAAAGACAGTAGCAATGATGTCCCCAGAATGAGGCAACTCAGTCATGGAGGTAATTGAGATTTGAATAGTCCAAGCAAAGCGCAGTATCACATCCTCTATGATGGCACAGTAGTAATAGGCCTGAGGAATAATAAGCAAATTGAGTACATTTACCATGTTTCTCACACAAAAGCACATCTATCCCAGCAACAAGACTCATACATGTCTCACCAACAAACACAGGTTAAAGAGGAAAGAGTTTTATTTTATTTTATATTTTAGAAAGATTTCACAAATTTAGTTTTTTTCTTAAATGGTGCAATACTGAAAATGAAGTTTTACTGAATGTCAGTAATCATTTAACAAATAATATAGTATTCGTTATTTCATTCTTATATTGTATACTAGGCCCTACTCTAGGCCTCAGAAATACAAGCCAGGTGAGAGCCTCAGTCTGATTGAGATGACATTGACATTCTAAAATGTATGTGATATGCTAATGAGTCAACAGCTAATATTAGAAAAGATGAACAGTTTTACTAACTGTGCTATTTCAAATTGCTTTACCCTGTATTTGAAAGTTTTGCCTTGCCTTGCTTTTTGATTTCAGTAAATGAAATTAAACTTGGATTTCACAAACATGATTGAATTTAAGGAATGTTCCATTTTTACATGGGGAAAACAGCACTCAACTAACCAATTCTTCCAGGTACTAGTAACTAGTATTTACTAGGCCAGTTTTACCTACACAAGTCTGCTTTAAATATATGTTTTTAAAGGTTGTGACATCTTAGAAACTAGAACTGCTATGTATTAAAGCCATAAAATTCATTTCATTTTTTAAAAGTTTTAACAAAGGAAAACTCATCATGTCAGAAGGCTAGCAACCACAAAAAAGCAGTACCCTGTCACCTTCTTTTCCCATTTTCTAGACAAACATTTTCAAAATTTGTAGCTGTTTCTCTTAGTATTTATCCTATTTCCAAATAATGTGTGTATATTGCTATATCTTGATTAATCGATTTTAGATATTATCCACTGACTACGCTCATTATGACAGATTTTATGAAGATTTTAACACGCTAATATACCTCCCTGCCCTGTTCCCTCCCCCATCCATTCAATATAATGATAATACAATTTTTGGATAAACCCATATTCAGTAAATTCATTATTAGGCTTCAGTGAAGGACTGCAATTTTATATGCATTTAACAGTCAGTCTTACGCTGACCCACAGCTGACTGACATAAGAGCTGATGTTACCAAACATGTGAGTCTTTTGGGAAGAATACACTTAACTTGAGGTCAAGAGACACAGAAAAGTTAAGTTTTTAATATGGAGATAAAAATGCTTCCTGGACCTGGGTGTGGTGCTCGATATTATGCACTATTAATCCCTACGAACTGATTTTAAGGTTCATATAGATGTGTTCTTAATTTTTAAATGGGGCTCCACTGGACTTCACAAATAGTTTCTTCCCTTTACAAGTGGAATGAATTTTATTCCAATATTTCCCTTTTTAAAACGGAAATTCTGTGGCAATCCAGCAGAAAATTTTTGTCATAAATTTGCAAATTGTAATGTAGGAAAGCATAAACTTTATTTTCTAGGGTTATGAAAAAAATATATTAATAAAGACACTGATTGAGTCTATTCACTAATTTTATTACCTAGAAACCAGTAAATTGGAACTATTTAAAAGGAGAAATGGATTAACATTTTTATAAAGATACAATTAGTTCATTTAAACAATTAGCATAATAAGAAATAAATGTCTTCTATCTCTAGTAAGGCAAGAACCATATAAGGAGCAAGAAGGCACATACATTTGGTGAGCACAAAAGGACCATTTTTACCTGAGCACATGTCTGCTCTCTGACTTGTGCATATGACCATTACTGATTTTCTTTCCAAATAAGAGGTATAAAGATATGTCTGGTGTCTTGGTTATATACTCTAAGTCTGCACATTAGGATTACTGCTAAAGCTTACATAAAAAAGATCACTGTCAATGACTATCCACTTTTCTGCCTTTATTTGCTTATCTGAAGTTACCCTACATATCATTCTTTATATACACTCTCGTATCATGTATCTTCAAAACTCACACTTGAAAACAGCCTTCCTTATGCACCAAGTGAATATTATACATTCACACACTTTTCAAAGTACCATTTTGAGGTAGTGGTGACATTCTTATATAGTACAAAGTATTAATGACCCACTCTATACTCCCCTCCCCCTCACAGAATTTTAGAATTGGGAAAGGACCAAGAGAGAACCTAGTACAACGCCCTGCCTTATAGAAGAGAATACAATGCAGCCTGGTTGCCTCATTAGTGAGTGAGCTGGGATTAGAATTCACTTACAGGATTTCCAGTTCACTGTTTAATTTCTTTCAATATCTGAGTCAAGATACTCTTGGTCTTTTGACTTTTTAATTCAGCCTCTCTCATCTTTTTATTCATTCATAGATAAAAATCCTAAAATTATTCCTAAGGAATTATCCATATATTTTCAGGTTGAACTGGCACTTTAACAAAAGCTGGGTGAAATAAATGAAAGAAGCTTTCTTGATGCACCCAAGCAGTCAGGCACTCCCTTTCCTTGTGCACTGCTCATTCAGGCAAGTATTTATACATTCACCCCACAAATACTAAGTCTACTACATGCCAGGAACTATGCAGGGCAGTGAGGGATATGGATACCTAAACAAATAATTATAACACAGTGTGATAATCACTATAATGGCAGTCTGTATAGGGTAAAATGAGATTAAAATGAATACCTAAATATGCTTGGAGAAATAAAGAAAGGCTTTTTAGAGAAAATAATACTAAAACTGACTTTTAAAAAGGAGTTTGCAAGGCCAAGGGGAAAGAAGGCGTTTTTGAACCACATGTTCAAAAATAAATTAAAAATTATAGCAAGCTACTTGCTCCTCTATTTTAGTCTTTTTATTAGTCTTTATAATACATTGTAGTGCAATCTGCTTAAAATATAGTTTGTGGCCTCTTTTGAGAACCAGAATTTTACTTTGTCTTTATTTTCTATAGTGCCCAGCATATAGTAAACATCTGACACATTTTTGCTGACTGAATTAGTATTTTTTTGTAAATAGCTATTTTTTCTAATGATATGAGGTTGGGATGGGTATACTGCATACTAGGGTTTAGCTGGTGGCACACCCGAGTTGTTGTTTTTAAACAAACGCAAACACTGTACCTACTTTCTGGGGGTACACAATCTCCTCCCGGAGGAAGGTGTTTTCCCCTGCGTTTTTATCAAAGAGACCCCAGTCCATCTTCAGATCCCAGATAAGGGTGTAACAGGAACTGATGATACAAAAGACAATCCACAGGTAAAAGAACACCTTGGTGTCTGAGTGCTCTCGTTCTGAAGAAAGAAAAGGGAAAGGGAAAATTACTTGATTTAATTCTCCATTAAATAAAACTAATTAAAGAACATGTTCTTTACACAGCTCCATAAAGGAAGTAAGATTTTAAACAAATCTCCCCAGTAGGATCACTGTCTCACAAAAGTTAAATAATAAATCTGATTCTCCTGAAATCCAAAGTAATCATCAAACATTTATCAAACACATATAATTTGTACAAATGTGCATTTGAAGTTTTGGAGGCTCTATGCTGAATACATAAAAATCCAAATAATTGCGATGGAGGTTTTTAATATTACAAAAGATGTCATTTTAATTTTTGCCATGAGGTGGCAGCTTAGGATCAAAAATGAAAAAAAAACTTATGAAACACTACTAGCAAGGAATGTACCGCATTTGCTTCAAGAAATTCTTGGACTGTTTTTACTTTAAAAAAACATTTCCTTCATACACTTGGATTTTGTCAATATTTGTTGTGATGGTAATCAGCTAATTTTAATTCTAGAGAAAATACCAGAAAGCAACTGACTGATGAGGAATTTATCCTTAAGAATATGTATGACAGCAAATTTCTCTCAAATTAAAGCAAAGCACGCTATTTTCTTTTTATAGTGGTTGTTTAATGACACAAAGACCTAATTTGACTTTATGCTGGGAACACTATAAAATGTGTTAATCAGAATAATAAAAATAATTTGCAAATGTAGTTAACTTAGTCTTTTTTTCACTCTTAAGTGTGTCATATATTTTCTAATGAAATTCTTCTTAGTTAAGTTCAAGAGTCATCATGATGTTATTGGTGTTCTCTAGGTGCATGATACAGGTATGTAACTACTAGTATGGTCCTAAATCTTCAGGAAAAAAGGTACAAATCATCTAATTTAAAAAAAAAGTTTAAATTTTGGTTAGCTTCCCAAAGGCACAGAAAGTAAAGGATGAACATGCATTATCCATAATCCTTCCAATTAAAATAAACATGTTTATTAATCATTTTTTAGGTATTAAAATTTTAGGAAGTAATTACACTGTGGTATTAAAGTGTTAAGTACAGTATGATTCAAAGGCACCCTTTGGAAATTTATAATCCAGTAAGTAAAATAACCATTGGTTATTGATAATAAGTTTGAGCTCAAAATGAATTATAAACAAAGTACTATGAGAACATCAAGAAGAAGGGGAATGTTTCCAACAGTAGGAAATAAGAGGAAGTAGCATCTGAGTTATTTCTAGAAGGATAAATAAATAGTGTTGCAAAAGTCAGGCAGATGAGGCAAGGCCACTCAAAGCTGCAGGAAAATAAAAATGCATGAGGGTGGGAAAGTGCAAAGTGTGTTTAAGAAGCTGCAAGTAATCTAAATCCAGTGTGGGTGAAATACAGAGGCTGGAAGGGAATGGGTATGGTTTGAAATGAGGCTGGAAAAGCCTTTTTGTGTCTGACTCTGGAATGCCTTCTTGAAGCTTAGGATCAGATCTATATTTTAGAAAAGTAACTGGGTGGCTGGTTGCTTGCATTAGAATTATAGTTGGTTGGTTAAAAAACAGATATCTCAGAGCTGTCCAGTGTTATGTAAATGTCAGTTTGTACCAGTTCATGAGAGCCACCTGCTAAACTTTCAAAAACTTTGCATGCTGGTGGTTAAACACAGTCATTATTAAAAATTAAATTATATAAACTTACAATTAATTATATTAAAAACAAAGGTAATAAAAACTCAAAATTCACCACCACTTCCTAATTATTTTACTAAATTCTGCTGTTACTCTTTTCAGTTATGTATGTTTATTGTATATCTGTATGATGGAAATACTAAACAATGCTATACATCTTTTCCCAACATTCAATGTTATCATCTTAGTAGCTTGAAACTGGCTATGATGGAAGTATTTACACCGTGGAAATCAGCAAATGCTGCAAATCTGTGCCCTGTATCCCCACTCCCACCAGAGAGCTGGTTTGTTAAACATATACTAGCATATGACTGTTCAGCTTCTTTGCCTGAAAAGTCAGTGGTAGGGAACAGAAACAAATATTTTTTAAATAGTCCACAAGTGATTCCACAAAACAAGTCAAGCTTTGATATAAACACATTTTCAGGTTTAGCTTATTTCCACAGAAACTTTTATCATCAAAAGCAAATTGGGTTGAATATTTATACTATTCATATGAATAGTATATTCATATCCCACATGAATCAACTTAAAAGGCCTAACAAAATATTTCTTATTATCTAGGTTAAGTTGGATGTGTTCTGACACATCTTTTATTTCATTCTATTGACAGATATAAGGTCTAGTTGAGTAGTATAGTTCAATTATTAGCATCATGGTTGCAATAAAAATCCTATCACTCATCTACTACGGTTTGCATGGAATAAAGCAAATTTAGCAACTTAATAAAATTCACACTCTTCTCATATTTTCAAAACAAGATCAACACAAAGAGGTAGACAAGTGACTTAGCCATAATTATATTTGCAACTCTTTTTTAACTGAATGCTTACTATGTGCCAAGTAATTTACATATATCTCATTTAGTTTACTAACAATAAGCCACCATTTTGTTTGCTAGAAAAAGTAATAAAATTAGAATACAGTAATAGATATTCAGCAGGAGGTAACAAAATGAGTATTTCTCAAGTAAGTATAGGTAATATCAAGTCTTATTACTGAAAGCTTATTTTCTTTCCTAATTACTGAAATAACTGAGTTCAAATTATTATATAAAAGGAGATCATAGGGAGAAAATAAAAAGGAAATTAATAATGAAACTAAAAGTAATATGCTAATTTTCTTTTATTTCACTTAAATTTTAAATACAAGTCCTAGCCTTTAATTCTTAAAATGGTACAGTGGGTCAAGTGCCTCCCTCCTTTCTAAGCCCATATTATTTCTATAAAATTTCTATGAAACATGCACAAAGACTTACTGACTTTTAAAAAACCAAATATTTTAACAGAACATTTTGCAAAAAGTAATGTTTTATCAAACAATGATTAGCATACACCTGGTCTACATATGCTACATTTTGGTCTCTTTTTAATTATTACCCTTATTTGATTTTTTCCATTTCCCAAATGAGAAATGCTTCTCCCTGAAATCATCTGCCTTCATTGGTATGCATGAGATGTACTGGAAAAATATCGTCACTTTAGGCAAGCAATTATATCTAATTCTCTCCTGGCTAACTCTAGTAGCCTACTTTAATGATGTTCAGAATCACAGAAAATCAAGTCATTGCTATTCTACCCTAAGCTTCTAGTACACACTTGCCATGTTAGAAGCATAATTCATAGGGGACATATTTTTATGGTAATGACATTTACTGAATCTAAAACAAATAAAAATAAGGTTCTTAGAGTTTTGTACCTATAGCCATCATAGGAAGGATAAAGCAAAATAATACGTCAGGAAAAGTGCTTAAGAAAGAAACCAGAAAAATTACACGTGCAAATCATCCTGAACCATATTTCAGGAAGGATATTTTAAAAATGAAAACAATGGCACTGTGTGAAGGGAAAGTGAACAGTCTTATTTTCAGCCAAAACCTTTCTACTCTGGTAATAGTTTACTAGTTTTTAATTTGAAATTAAATAAGCAAATAAACTAGACATTGTTTTAAAAGCTCAAACCTATATAGGTAAACTGAGTTATAAATGATTTTGGCATCTGGCAAATCCTAGTTCTATTGCTATTACCGGACAAAAAACCCCCGAATTATGAGATTAATGAATAATGAGATTAATATGGTTCTCTGAAAATTAATGGATATAGATACTTCCCTTATCTTTAGTGTGTCTTAGTTAATACGTGAGGCCACATGTATTATCACTTCTCCGGTGATAGTCATATTTATCCTCGGGGCAGGCAGGACAGACATTATTATTCCCATTTTATAGTTAAGGAAGCTGAGGGTCAGGGAGACAGTAAGTGGAGGATAACTGGATTTGAACTTAGAAGATCTGGGTTTGAATTCACTCGATTTCTTTGCAACTGTGATTATAGGAAATTCATAATCTTAAAATGATTGAGACAAAAATGGAAATCATTAGGCCTAAGGGTGAATGAGGAACTTAGAAACAGGAATCTTATCCAAGAAACATTTTTATTCTATACAGCACTGTTTCTCTAAGCCTATCCCATCTCAACTCTAAAATGAAAAAACAGTTCCACAAAACTATGATGCAATAACATTAGAAACATTTCTAAGGCATATAAAAACAGAATTTAAAACTATATACATATTATTTCATACTGCATATAAAATAATGTTTGTAGAATAAGAAGCGTTTTCCTTATTGAGAGACATAAGATTATTAAACGGATTTACTTTTAACTTGACATATTTCTGTATTATTTGAATTTTATTTTTACAGTGATACATATGTATCCATGTTTTACTTGTATAATTAAAACGAAAAGAAAAAGATAGGAAGAAAGTTGGCTAAGAAAAATAGCTGCTATTAAGGTGGTGATATTTTATAAATTATTTAAATAAGCCTTTAATATTTTTATTTTGTTTTTGTAATAGAAAAGAAAAATAGTATGCGGAAATTCATTTATTCATTCAACAAATGTTTACTGAATGTCCACTATAAGCTGCATTATTTATTATATAGTTACAATGCTTAAGATTTAACTCCAAAGAAAAATTTGTTTACCTCTATATTAAACATATAGATGATGAATGTCTATTGGCTAACGAGGTATATTTTAGAGAATGGGGATGTACTGAAGTACTACCCAAGACTAAGAGTTAAAGAGAAGAGATATAAAATAAACAAAAACATAATGTGTAAGTGCAATTGTAGAACTGTGCATAGAAGAGGGATCAATAACTAGGATCTCAGGAGAGCGAACAGCTAGGAAAGTCTTCCTGGAGAAGGTGCCGCCTGAGTTCAGTCTTGGAAGTTAACAATCTTTAGTTAAACAGGTTTATGAGGCTGAGGGAGCCACGTTAAAGTAGAAACCATTCATTCATTCATTCATTCATTCATTCATT